TCACACATGTATTTTGTTTATTTTCTCTTATCCCATCAGTAGTGAAAATCAGTTTTTTTTTAACAATCGCATGTGAAAGATCTACTGCAATACGCGAAGATCTCTTTCGTTATGAATTCAGGTACACTTCTGTGTTCATTTTCTTTGATTCAGTACGAGTTTGTTTATAGTTTTCAGATCTAGTTTTATTTTATTTCTATTACAACGTTCTCCTCAACGCCTAGCCCAATAATAACTCAACTCTTGGCCTTTTAATTCTATTTGATCCCCTCGTTTCCTTTTATAGTTTTACTATATACTCTAGTTACAATTCTATCGATTGACCTTCTATTCTCATTATAACCCTCTATGTGTAGCCAATTCCTGCCTAACATCATTATCTTGCTATTAATCAATATTGTTTCCCTATTTGTTTCTATTACATTTCCATTGCTAGGCCATTCTTCCCTTTAACTTAATTCAAATCCTTTAATAAAATGTGTTATATATCATTTTGGATTGGTGAATAACATATGTTAGCCATCCTTTGCCATCATAGTGACCTTTTTATATTCTTTTTCCTTCAACTTAATCTAGAAATATTATTTATCAAGATGCACATTAATCAATTGAGGAATTAGTCTAAAAAAAGATTTTGAGTACTACCTTCGTGTCTTTATGATTGTTTTTTTATCATCTATTTTGTCATACATCGATTCTAATCTACTTAGCTTTTCACAAAAATTAAAAAAGAAACTATGATGTCGTGTGTGAATAGGAATCCTCTGTATTTTACCAAACTCCTCATGAGCCTTACTTCTACATTCTTAAAGCATCACATCTATGTCCACGAATGTTATAATGCTAAATTATCCCTCCAAGTTTTAACATCCAAGATATATCTAATTTTTTTCATCACTTTTCCTTAATACATTATATTATAATCAAGACTTAGTTATGCTATAACATTTCTTTTCAACCATTTACTTTCAATAATCAATGTTTCAATTCTAGCATTGTAAAGTCCTTTATCTCTTTTAGAATTATTGTAATAATTGTTTGATTTTTACCTCGACCTTGAGCATAAGACTTTGACACCTCCTAATTTCTAATGCGCCATGTTTGATATTTTTTGGATCCCCCCTGTTGCTCCCAGAATCTCTATCTTTTTTTTTTAATATTCCCTTGTACTTCATTTTATCTTCCCATACTCTTCTGACAACTTCACACTAATCTTTGACCATTAAACATCAAACTATTAATCTTATCAACTGATCTAACCTTTATTTTTTTTAAAAAGTAAAAAAGCTCCATTAAGAATAATAATGAATTATCACTAGTAAAAATTATAAAAATAAATCTACAACATAACAGCAAGAGAACAACAAACAACCTTTTATCTAGCATTTTAGAAAGAATTTGTAAAAGTAAAATATATAGAAGAAAATTACAGAAGGTGTGAAAAACGGATACCTCCCTCATCCTAAAAAAGCTTACATAAGTGTCCTTTATTGCCAGAAAGCTAAGACACATCATAATATAATAAATATGACACCAAAGAACATAAAGGAAGATCGAAAAAGTGAATAACACTCTGAGAGTATGAAATCTATCATATTGCATATTTCCTAGAGTAATATAAGGTGAGATTGAAAAGTTAATCTAAATCATATAGCTCCATAATGACAACAGTAATTAAAAAAAAACTACACTATAACCTCAAGCTACCACAACTGCAAGGAATCAACAAGGTGATAAAGATCCAAGAAAGAAGAATCTATTAACTTTTTCTTTAGATAGATAAATGACCTAAACATGCCCATGTTTGCCAAACAACAATTATAGGTGCTTCGTTTATGCCCCTTGACTAATAGTGGTCACAAACATTATGAGGGACTCTCTCCACTCTTCGATCTTCACTTTGAATTCAACTAATTTCTCAACTCTTTGATCTTCCCTTGCATCATTTTTCGTTCTCCCGTAGTCACTTTAATTAATAGCGGAAGAAGGCCAACATCAAAACATTCTAATTAGTAGAAAACATTTTGAAGAATAAACTCTTATCTAATAAAATTGATTAATGAAGCTTTGAAATTTTTATTAGGAACTAGAAAGAGGATCTAACTTAGTTAATTTAACCCACTATAAATATTTGATACATTACCACAAAAAAGTCTGTACTTAATGAACTTAAATTAATTTTTTAAAAGAAATAAGATGTAAAAATTAAACTCAAATAATCAATTTTATAATAAAAAAATTACGGTATATGAGTTAGATGCATAATAGTTATTTATTAGTGGTTAATCAATTACTAACTAATTGTTGAATTAATATAACTCTGTTAAATCGAAATATTTATTTGTTAATTACTTAATTGACATTTCAATGTATACCAACTTAACAAAATTAGAGTACATATTATATATAAAGAGTCCTAGGAAACTAAAAATGTCCCAGCAGTTAATCCTATCAATTGGAACCAGTTGTTGCAGATGATTTCACGAATTTCCAACTTCATCATCTGAAATTTGAGGTGAATCGGACGGTGAATATTAAATTTATTAATCTCTAAGCTATATAATAGCCTTTTTTTTGGTATAATTTTCCCTAAACTTCCCCTAGATTCTTACCTAGGTGATTGAAAGTGGCAGAGTAATTTTCAATCTCATCAGAATAACAGAATAAAAAAAAATAATTACATTAAGCAATACTAATCGTGCACGTAATTAGCTAAAACAATTTGCAGCCCGTTGACGCCCGGTCCATTATATATATATAATATGTACGCATAGGGTTCTTGTGTTCTTCAATACTAAAAAGGAGAGCAAGAAAAGAATAAAAAAAAGACGATAAGAAGATCAAGACACAAAATACAACAACAATGATAACAGATACATGGAGTAGACATGCAAGACTTGGAGTTTGTTCATTGTTTGGTCAGTTCTGCAATATGCATTGGGGCTCCACATGGGTCCACCTAGTCAACCATTTACTTTATATTTTAAATCTAGTTTTGTATTTTGATAAATATTTGAAATAAAGACGATACATATATATATATATATATAAAATAACAACTCATCTGTATTTCTAAAACACTTTATACTTATTTCATAATAATTTCTGTCTCTTCAACAAACATTTTCTTACTCATCTCTTCATCATTGCATGCAATAACTCCTGTGACAACTTTATTAGTTGTTGCTTGTGAATTGGCTTAAACCCATAGTTGATCCCAATGAAGCAAACTTTGCCAACTCTTGTGCCAAAAATGGACGACCAGATTGATCTCCACTCACGCCTAGAAAGTCTCTGGTTAAACTATGTTGATCAATGGAAGTTGAACCAGGATGCAGCTTCAAGTGAGTTGCTTCATTTTGTTTTGGAGCTCCTGTTTGCATCATCATCTGCTCAAGATTATTATTGTTGTTGTTGTTTGTTGTTGCAGCGTTAGGTATGGAACTACCCAAAACTCCATGATCAGAACTCATAACTACAAAATTATTCCCATGTTGCTTCACGTTTTGATTATAAACCTGATCATGGGTACTTCTGTTTCTGTTGTGTGTGGAACTAAAGCTAGCTGTTTGAGAAGAAGAGGAGGTCATTACACCAAAGGTATTTCCAAAGAATGATTGGTTGCTCCTCGTTGACCCCATTTGAGCTGCTTTCTGCAAAAGTGCAGTGGCCGACATGGGTGCTGCCGGCTTTGATTGTTTGCTTTGAGTTTCAGAGTAGAGAGGTGGAGAGAAGCTCTCCACTAAATTTCCCTTGGTTTCCTCTTTTAGAACTCCTTGTGGCAATGGAGATAAAGTGAGACTTGCACTAGTGGGAATCGCAGAAGTACTCTTGTCAAACCCTTGAAACTGATGATGACCAAAATTAGACATAGATGACGAACCATAGAGATTAGCTGAAGTCATCTGCACCATTTCGGGGAAACCTACATATAATTACACAACATATGGAAGATTAGTTAAGAATTAATCACTTTCCTGATTTAGTCAGAGTAGTATTAGACAAACCAAGCTGGCCTTAATTTGAGAAATTAAATCTTAAGACCTGAAGTTGGGATTCCATTGAAATCTTGGGTTAGACCAGAGCCAAACTGAGAAATTGCAGCAACGTGATCTTGAACTCCTCGGCTAGTAAATCCATGAGGCAGATTCACAGTACTATCGTTTCTAAAATTTAGATCAGTGGTCGCAACCGAAGTGATCCTAGCACTCTCTTCCGCCAAAGCATCACAAAAAGCTCTGTGCGTGATAAAGCTGTCTTTCCTGTTTGAATTAAGGAATAATCAAAAGCCTAAGGTTCAGTATACATATATATATGTATGGAAGAAATTCATAGGTCTAATAAAAGGTGATGCATAACAACAATAATAACATAACAAAGGAGACATGGAAAGACAGCTTGATTTAAACATAGAAATCTTTTTCAGAAAAAATGACTTACTAATAATTGAGTAAGTAGTAATTGGCTGAGTATGACTAATTTCTACATATATCAGTTAATTTACTACATAATCATTAATAAGGTCGCATTTAATTGGAACCCAGAAACCGTGAAGCAGTATATGTCATGAAGCATTTATTTCTTCTACAATGTAAACATATAAACAATAGATCAAAAAAAAAAAAAAAGAAAAACCAAAAGACGAAAAAGATTAAAGCGCAGAAAATTAACGCTTAAAGCAGGAGTAGTAGTACTACCTGGAAAACAGTGTACCACAGTCGCATTTATACTCTCTAGTCCCACAAGTCTTGGAGTGAGCTTTCCAGTCTGATTGAACTGCGTACTTCTTTGAGCATTTCTCACACTTCCACTTCTTCTCTCCGTGCTTTCTGCTGAAGTGCTTCTTGATTCCGGTGAGGTCTCCGAGAGCTCTGGACGGATCGTGGTGAACACAGGTCTTTTCCGGGCAGATATACACCTTCTTTTTTACCTCCTTGTTGCTTCTTTGCCTCAGCTTCCATGGAAGATTATGACCTCTTCGGTGAAGTTGCAGGTTTTGGTCTCTTTGGAAGCCTTTATTGCATATTTCGCATATGAATCTGTTTGTAGCCATTAGGGTTTTGGGAGAGAGAGCAATAACCTCAGCATCTGGATCTGTCAAGTTACAAGAAATTAATTTAAGAACAACCCATTAAATCTACTTATTTGAGAACCCAAAAGGAAGCTAATAATAGTAGTACTAAGAGTATATATCGAGTAAACGATGGAGATCAGTATGCATGCATAGTTTACTTACCCGGTGTTCCAGGTAGATTTCTCTTCTTCTTGGCAGCTGGATTAGGATTAGGTTTAGGATTAGGGTTTGGGTTTTGTTCTTGATGCACAAACCCTCCTGTTGAGGAAGGCATTGAAAAGGGATCACCAGGCAACATTTGCATTCTCAGGTGCCCAAAAAAAAAAAGAAAAGAAACCTGTGTTTTCTTTTTTCGGGCAGTGAATTGATTCGCAAAGGAACAAATAAGTAGGTAGCTGAGTTTGCAATTAAGCTTGAATCTAAAAGAGAACACAACAAGAAAGGAACAAAAAAAAAACAAAAACAAAAACAAAAAAATTAAGTAAAAAAAAAAAAAAAGAAAGAAAAGGAATGAAGGAGGAGTAATAGTCTACACTGAAAGTTTTGGTAGTGTTGTTACAGAGAGAAAAGAGAGAGAGAGAGAAATCTGGCATTTGAAATTCAAAAGAAAACACCAAAAACCATGATAGCTATGGAGAATATATCTCTCTGTTTTACAGTGCACGTCGTCTCTCTCCTTTTTATCCTAAAGTCGGTCAGCCATGGATATGGACGGGCCAATCCTCTCTCTTACTACCCACATGTGTATGTAATGTGTGCGCGTGTGAGAACCTGTATCTATCTATATCATACATATATATTCAAGCAGAATGTGTGTTTTTTGGTATATATTAATTAATATATATAGCCTTTTGAACATATTAAAAAAGGGTAAAAGAAATATAAACTGACATGCAGTAAAGAAGAAAACTAGAAAGGCATGCATGTAAATATAAAAGCGGGTGTTGGTGTTCGTCTCTGTGTGTGCTGAAAGTGAAAAGTAAGTTGCCTTTATAGCCATTGATCAGATATGAAATGATTAACCCATAATTAAAAGTTAGACCCGATTTAGCATGCACTTGCAGTATATACATACATCCATATATATGTACACACACACACACACGTAGACATACATATCTATGTGTGTTTGTGCATAAATTGAGAGAGAGGGAATACATTTCCCGAGGGAGCTGATAGGACGGTCCGTGATACCTGTCTCACTGAGTGTGTGTGGGGGACGTGTGGGACCCACC